CGAGTACTGTACGAGTACCTAGCAGAGCATGATACGGCACACTCCTCACACAAAACCCCACAAAATTCCGAAACACGGAAGCCGTACGATACCGGTACGGTACTGGTGGTAAGTTAATGCGTTATTTACGACGATGACTCCGTGCGTTCGTGCGTCCGTGCCTGCGGTGCTGCGCTGTGGGGTGGGGTGCGGCCTTTTTTTTTTTTCGCGATTATGTAAGCCCATTTTGTGCAACCGACCAGAAAAAATTGAAAGTGGTTATGGGATCCCCTGTTTGTAATTCTCATGCTCGTATCATATCATAGCTGGTCTGGTCCTGTCCGGTTTTTGTCGTGCCCCGCTCGCTCACACACTTCACACACTCACATCTGGTGAAGAACTGACTGGCTGTCACTTGTATCCGTACCGTACCTGGATTTTTGTGCGGGTGCGGGGTGTGGTTGTGGTGGTGGTGGGTATATAATATTATGATAGTATGATACGGGTTTTTGCTTTTGCTCCATGTTTTTGATACGATATTAGGATATCATACCGTGAATGCCCTCTTTTTTTTTTTTAGTGAACGGGGTTAGGTTTTTCCGGTATTTATTTATTGGGTGTAGTGGTCGTGTCGTACTATGCCGGTACTGTAGTCTACTATTGTATGAGGATTACAGGCACCGTGCTATGCTATATTGTGCACCACGATCAAGATTTGCAGACACTATGCTGTGCCATGCTGTATTGTGCACGACAATCAAGATTTGCACTTTTGCAACAAAAGGTCCTTGGATGGTTGGACGGTTTGGGAGAACGGGAAGGTGTGACTTTTTTTTTTTTCCCCCTAAGAAAAAATAATAATTGTAGTATTATGACATCTTATTTTTACCTCGTCGGTGCATTCTAGATAGTCTACCCAACGAGCAAATTTCCTGAAGGGCCGGGGGGGTGGGGTGGGGTGGGGAGGATCATAAATATTATGATATGACATTGTGGAAACGAAACAAAAAAACATATATTATGATAACAATTTCCAATTATTTATTTCATTAAATTTTCATTTATTGTTATCATACCCAAACAGATTTTTCCCAAAGAGGGATTCGCAGCATATTCATAATATCATATGATACAGTACCTCCTCCGCAAGGGGGGGGGAGGCGAGGAGGAGGATCGCCGTCCCCGATTTTAGAAATTTCGGATCAAGTCAGCGTGCAACGCAATACTCATCATGTATTATATTTATATAGTCTGGTATCCGTAATGCCGCCACTTACGGCACAACCCTACCGTACAGTATATGCTCGTACCGTGCCTCCCCCCCGCCATAGATGAATTATGCGAAATACCATAGCATAACATCAAATCAAACCCCCCTTACTCCGACCGTCACAAATTCGTGCCGCCAACGCTACGCTACCCCCGCCCAGCTGCCGAATGTTGAGTCTACGGTGTACCGGCTGCGTAAATAGCAGTGAATAAAATACCTCCTCCACTCCCGTTTCAAGTTTTGAGTTTCAAATCATGACCCTATGATAATTAAATTACCGGTAAGCGCGGCCAGGTATGACAGCGGTTGCGGTAGTGGCGCCTGGGATTTATGTTGGTGGGTGGGGCGGTTCCTCTCGGGTGATACAGTACGGGTACGGGTACGGGTAGACTATCATGCATACCGACCGACCCAACCGACCCACCGCCTAGAGCGGAGAGAGCTATAAAAAAAAAAGTTTCCTTCTTTCCCGGGCTAGATTTACGTACTATTGTCCGTGTCATGTTTTACAATGTTTCGGGATTGTTCCTGCTCGGATTGGATGGTTGTGTATTGTAATGTAGCGGCTGGGCGGATTATGTACGTATTTCTTTTATGTACTCCTTACATTTGCA